ACTTGTCATCTTGCCATTACTCTTCGACTTGGTACGAGGAGAGGAGGTAATGTGGTTTCGAGTGTAGTGTCGTCTCCAATGCATAGCTCGCTGATACTGCTAGTGATGGAAATTATAGTGGGCGCTTCACGTTGGGAACTTGGGCGGGTGATGGTATCAGTACCTAGTGTGTTCGCTCAGGAGGGTGGTACAGACCCATCAGTTTTGGGCGGCGATATGAGAGAGTTCGAGAAGTCCTCTATCGACCGTCTAGCACACATTTATCACGATGCTGCAACCAGTGTGGTGAGGAGGGGCATATCATCATCGTTGGAGTGAAGGTGGACACTACTGCAGTTTGCCTCACTGAGAAAATGAATGCAGTGGATCTGCCTAGGTGTAATTTCTAGTTGTATTGTTTATTACTATCATCAGATATCTAATGCATCAGCCGTTACGAATTCAGCGTACTCGTCTTCTTCCACCTTACCGGACTTGGCAGGTGGACATGAGCACAATGTGAGGCGTTGGTTCTTCTGATGTTAGCGGCGCCCTTACTGATCGGAAATGTGTGCGAATCTAGGATTGGACATTTGATTCATCGTCAGCTAGTCCCTGAGTCCGACTCCTCCACTTCAGATGAAGTATCTCTACACGGTACTCCTCCTATGTATGGCTTTCATAGCGGCTGCGATGTGTGTACGGATTTATCGCTCTGAAGCTCAGCGTCGTGCTAGAGGTGGTGTTCCGTCGAATGAGATGACGAAGGCTCTCCTAGTGCATCATCCGACTACTACCACGGATGCTGGGGATGATGGCGGCGATAGTGGTGATGGTGGTCGACCCTCGTCCTACTACCGTGTACTATAACGAGAATTGAATTTTCTATCATGTCGGTATGCTACTGCCAAGTCCTCAACGGTCGTGAAACCAGTATCGTCTCGAGTATCATTTCAAGTTGGATGAGTACTATATGTTGCATTGAATAATTTCGGTCCTATTCGATCTGAATGGGGGATCTGGGATTTGCTCGTAGTCGTGCTCGAAGGATCGCTTCCTGTGACATGTATACTCATCAACACGCATCTTCTGAAGAACATCAAACTAGGGTGGGAGGGAAATCGAACATTTTGATGGAGAAGGGGGAGTCAAAGGCCGCTCAGGTGAGGCTGAGGTTCCCTATAGAGGACCCAAGCCTGTTCAGGGTCACTCGTTCGTGTCTACACCACTCCAGTCGAAGAAGAGGCCCCTAGCAGTAAGCGAAGGGGGTTTGGACATCGACTTCAACGCTAGCGCGGCAACTCCATCCACGGCTGCTACTACGAGGGGAGACTCAGCACTCCGGGGGAATCCTTGTTCTATAAGGGTGAGGTGGCGATCGCGTCATTGACTGATGAACTATGTGCCTATGGGATCTACTGCTGTATGTGTTGCACACCTACCATGTCATTTAGAAGTGGTATTAGAGTATAGGTTTCATTTACTCAGCTAAGAAGTTGTAGAAATTCACACACGAGTTAGAGTAAAAGTGAACACGATCAATAGGAATTCCTCAGAATTCCCGCGGAATTTTCGGTAACACTTATAGTTGATCGTGTGCATGGAATATTGTTAGTCCGTATTACGCGGCTTCATAAGTAAGCCTCTTTTTTCATGCAGTTATTCCGAGAGGATTCCAGTGCTGGTAGCATCTCCGCGCAAACGCCTGTTGGAAACACCATCAAGCGACTCCCGCCTCTGAATGCAGTTCGGTCTCCACTACCGAAACTGCAGGCCTCGGCGACAACTCCAACCGGGGAACATGCGGTATATGTTGGGGCGTCTCGATTGGGTCATCAACAGCGAGAAGAAGAAGAGGAGGAGGAAGCTCCTGTTACCCCGCAGCGCAAGGTAAGCAGTGATACTGTTGCATTTAGACTCAGAGTACAGGGTTGGGCACCCGTTCTGAGATGGATGGGTCTTTCCGTCTCTCAGCCCGGTTCAAGCCTACGCTCAAGGAGCCCCTCACCCCCCAAGATAGATAAGTATCGCAGTCGTTGCCGTCCGATGCCCTGTGATGGCATCCCGCCGCGAAGGCTGGCTACTGAGTTTGAGCTCATGCTGGATGCCGGAGAGGAGGCGCCATCGACTGTGGTGATGCCGGCACCTTCTAACTTCCCATCACTCATGGAGCTTCCCCGACTGACCTTCCTGTATTCCGATGAAGAGGAGTCTGACGAGGACCTCATCAGCCCAGGCGTAAGTGACTCAGTGTGATGCTTTGTGCAGTACGATAAGCATCTCAGAGCCGTTTGCCGAGGATGCCGCGGATCAATAGTGAATTAAGAACAAATGTGCCTGCTGGCCAACCATCGACTGGCCGTTCTACCATGGTGCCCGATGAGCTTGTAGTGCGCCTTTAATAGGTCGTGATATCCACTCGATCCTGTTCCTATTGTGTAGGGGGAGGGGGATAACACGCCGTCGTCGACTGATGGAGACCATTGCATGTCGCTGAAGGAATCATTGGTTGCCGATTTGGAGGCACTATTCCTCGAGATGGATCAATATCAGTGAGAGCAAGTCTAACTCGTGAGAGGATTTGTTACTACTCCAGAATTCCCTTGAGAGTCGCTTCTCACAACCTCTACAGTCGATCGGCACAATATGCGGAAATAGAGGATATGAACACAACACTGCAAGATATTGTAGAGGTAGGTACTTCTTCACCTGATGATACGTCTCGATGGCATGTTACACAGTTTGGCTTTTATTTCAGTCACATCCACAGCAGTTCTATCTCAGAGGGACTACCATTCACTTCGTCGTGCAACAAGGCCCTGAAGGTGTCGACGGATAGGATCTTTAATTCTTGTCGTATTCCCATTGAAGAATCAGCTATGAGTAGCTCATGGCCATGTGTACAATAATAATAGGTCTTCTACCATGGCTCTCCAGCTGCTGGACGAGACGTCGCTGGAAGCCATATATTCTCCCATTAGAATCTACAACTGCGTTGTATTGTAGTCAATGGTATCAATACCATGAAGCTTGGGAAGCGGTGACCAAGTACGGGTCTCAGGGTATTTTCTAGCACATGGTGTACAAAGTTCGACGAATAATCATGGGAGCCACATGAGAATACCCTCTGAGTGAAGGGGAGTTGAACTCCCCTGCAGATTTGCAGTGGTGTGGGAAGGGTCTCAGGTAGCTTCTGCCCGTCACGCGCCCTGAGCCACTGGTCACAGGTAAGTGGTCAGAACACGGAAGTCCGATGTCCATTTTTTCTTACTGCATCTCCCGACACGTGTGGATCTCCGGTAAGAAGTGTCACACTTCTACTTCTGTAGATGCGTAAGATCCCAACCTTCCCGACAAATATGCACGACGAACTCTATTCATGCTTTCCCGGAGGCAGTAACGAATCTGACATACACGAACGATACGTGCCGATGATGGTAGGGGCTGTAATGTAGGAGTCAGTAGACTTCTCCACACGAGAGCTCGAGTGTGCGTGATATAGCCGGAATGGTCTACTTGGTTATGACGACTGCCTAACATGCAGGAGGGATGGGGGAGAAGATGGCCCCAGACAGAGAAAAGAGGATTGAAAGGGAAGAGAAGGGAGATGTAAGATGATGCTGCAGCGTTGTCACTGTCCCAATCTCCCGTGGCACACAATATGTCTCTATAGGCTAAAGGATTTCCTTAGCTAAGCTTATGATGAAAATAGCCTTCGTCGGCAAGTATGGAGAGGCTCTGGAAGGCATGCTCGTGCAACTAGATCCAGTGTAGTGTTATCTCAATGGGCAAATCAGTAACAGAGAGGAAAGAGGAGAGAGGAGAAAGAAGAAAGAGGAAGGAGAGGAAAATGGGAGAGGAAGAGTAGAATCTTCTAAAAAGATCCAATAGGCATCCTAAGGGGACATCAGAGTCCTAATAGCGACGGCCACGGTCATATAGTGTGTCGTTCGACCACATTCGTTTCACGGTGGAGCTTTTTTCGTTTCACGGAGACGACACCGCTCACTATGGCCATAACTCCATGTTTTCGATAGGCAGCCTCTGCAGATGAAACAACATAGGTCGGTTTGGTCGCAAAGAGGTAAGGGACGTGGGCCACATATGATATAAGACTTCTCATGTCTATGACTCATAGACTATGAGGGATCGTCCCAGTTCAGAGAGTTATGGTGTAATACAATATCGTAAAAAACATTGTGACCACTGACCAACCGTAGGTGGGTTTCTGCCATCAGACTGGCGACATTGAACCACCTCGCCCGTGATAGTTGTGGAAGGCTCATTGAGCCTGGCTCAATGTCTGCGTCATATTCATGCCTCGTAAGCATAAGTTCGTTGAGCTCGATATACGCCGTAGGCGTTATGGAGGTTAATCCTATGACTTCTGGACTTCTCTTCAGCAAGCTCCCGTTCGCGGAGATATTCCAACTCTGCTTTGGCCCTCTATAAGCTGCACCGATTGACGTCTTTGCAAGTTCCTTGCAAGTTGGTTCGATGGCAGTGATGGCCCCCACCGCTAATGGTGGCCCGGTCAGCATTTTCATCTTTTTTTCGAATTTCCTTGATGCGCGAGGATATGCTGGTATTCACCATTCTTTCTGACGGTCCTGAGGAAAGCGTCCAGGTCAGCTAGTATATTTCTGCGCCTCGATGCTACGCTGGAGCTCGAGCTCCGCCCAAATTCCCGCTCTTCATCTGCTGAATCCAGCTTTGATATCTCGTGTTGAGCTCACGAAATGAAGTCGCAGAACGCGCGTTCGCCGGAGGGCATTGATTCCTCAAGATTGGCCCGCGAAATTCGATGGTTTACCGCGGCAGACTGCCGCCGGCAGTTCGCCTTTCGCCCCCCTCTCAGTAGATGTGGCCTCTACTCAATCATCCCCGAATCCATCATCGGCATGGGAGGGC